TTTTTTTTTTTTTTTTGTGGGGGGGGGGGGGGGGGGGGGGGGGGGGGGGGGGGGGGGGTCTCGAACCACCACAACAGGAGCACGGATCACGTGGCGTATCCTCCGTGAGTTGGTCGCCACAGTTTTGCACCACGTTCGACCGCATCGCCACGTGCGGAGGGGACGGGCGGGTTCGGGTGCACCGCTTGGAGCGGCGAGATCTTGCGGAGGCGGCCTGGGCCAGCACGCAGACAGCCCACCTCAAGGACGAGAAGGTATGCTGCACGCGTGTATTATGAACGCGCCGTGCTCTTTGTATCAGCTCGAGTATCTTTCGTGCGGGTCGGTCCTTGGCAGTTGAATGCTTAGCTTTGCGCTGCTGCTGCTGCTGCTGCTGCGGCAGCCTCAGCCACTCGCTGCTGCTGTTGACGTTACACATCTATCTCACACTCTCCAGCTCGAGGGTGTGAAGGAAGGGGGTGCATGCCAAATCTCACCCGGAGGCGAGTGATGAATGTTGGCGCGAAGGTTCGGGTTAGCGACGCTAGGGACGAGTGAGCGTACCTTTTTCCGCTCGACATTTCTGTTTCGTATAACGTTCGCGAAAACCCCCCTCTTGCACCATTGTACCGGGCGTTTGAATAGGAGTGCGACAATCTCATGTGAAAAACACCCCCGAACATGCATGATGGCGAGCCCCCCCCCCCCCCCCCCCAACCGGCCGCGCGGTCGTGTACCCACGCCAACATCCCCAAACAAAATGTTGAAACCATCTTCATCTCCCGACTACTCAGGGAGAGACGAAGGGGGTGGCGTGGAGCGCAGAGTGGGACGTGAACGGCTCCGCGCTTTGTTCGACGGACGGAAACACCTGCCGCACGTGGATATCCGAAGGCGACGGCGTCAGCAACAACTGGTGCTGCACCGATGTCTTCCAGGAGGTCGGCGTCGGTGGCAGCGGAGGCGGCGGCGTCGCCGGCACGGACAGGAAGACCGCGATGGATCGGTACGAGGAGGGTTCGGCACCGGCCCCTCCGGCAACGGTCCCCGAGATCTTGGAAGGCTGATCGAGAAATTAATTCGAGAATGAATGCTGCTGCCCTTGCTTCGAAGAGGGCTGGCTGCAGCTTTAGCGGCCTTAGAGCTGGCTCTCGTTCCGGCTGGCTTGTGGGAATACATTACTGCTGTAGTACCGCACTACTTCGAAGTAGTAGGTTCATACTGTATCACACTGAGAAAAGACGGTTCGACCCTATATATATATACCGAAGTGCAGCCATAAAGTACATGTAGCACATAGCGTCGGCCTGTAATTTGGAAACACTCTTGTCTGTTTTTTTATGCATACGAGAAGGTGGCAAGTCTTTACTCTGTCTACATACATATGTATCTACCATACATTCAGGTAAGATCATTTTGCGCAGAGTTCGTCCGAGTACGATCGCAACGGAGGGTGTTACAGTAATGTGTGGTACAGGAGCGAGCGGCTGTGCTCAAGTTTCTCACGCCATTTTCGTTTTGAGAACCTCAGCCTGCGTGGTCTCGTGATGAATGAATTGTACTTCATCAATCAAAATACTCTGCGTTTTAGAGTCGGCCGGGACGTCGCCTGGACCCAGAGTTGGCATTATGGACCCGGTACTAAAGGCTTACAGCAGTAAGGTCAAAAACTATATGGGGTAAAGTGAGGTCTGTCTGCTGCTCTGTTCCGCGTTTCGCCCGATGTATGTATGTAAATACGTATATCAACGATGATCCGGTAGAGGCACACCATTTTCCACCAAACGCTACATACAATACTCACGGGATAACGTTAAGCGCCGGAGGTACTCTCGGCCCCGGAGGTACTCTCGGCCCGGGAGGTACTATCTCGGCACTGCATGTATGTATCTTCGTATCTTCGTATCTTTCTTGCTGCGGCTTCATCTCAAGTCCGAACAGTCGAACGTGGAGACAAACACTGCCTGCACACAGGCGCCCACTTGTTGCAGGAAAAATTGCTGACACCAGAGAGTCCTGCACATAACGAGACGGGACTCAACTCAGCAGTCAAGCAAGGGGTGTTCCTACATTCGTCGGATGTAGAAAGATGCCAGATGCCCCGACCGGGGCCAGAATTTGAGACGTCACTGCTCAACAACAACGGAGAGAGAAAAGTCGCCGCCCTCTTTCGTCACAAGTCACAAAACGGGTGTTGCAGCGCTTTTCACTTGATGAAATAGTATGGGCACCCGTGACGTATGCATTAAAGTCTCCGAATTCCGTGCAAAGTATGTGTAAGTTGTTGCTCTCTGAGGAGAAGACTCAGCCCTTTCGACTCCTGTGTGCGGTAGTAGTCTTTCTGTGAGTTTGAGTTTTGCAGACGTCGCATCTGAACCCCCATGCGTGTATTCATGATGCATGCAGTGAATTACGTACGTCGAGGCTGCAGAATTGCCGACAACACTTGATGGAGTGCAATCGGCAAGAGTTGATTGACGCAAGCAAAATGGTTGGGGAGCGAATGCACACATCCCTCCACTGGAACTGGGGTGGGGGTGGCCATCAGGTGCCGGCCCGAATGTTCCGGACCGCACCACACAGGAGGTGGAAAACAGTGGAATCCATAGAGGCGCTCTCTGCTGCTTTCTTTGCACCCCCGGTCATATAGCCTAAGCTGCAGTGCACTCTCCCTGTGTTCGCCAACCCGTGCATTGCTGCATGCACCGAAAATGGTGTGGGTGTCGGGGAAGCCTTTTCGGTTCTCACTTTCTCACGGGTTTTGATGCCGGCGTTGTCATCTGCTACACTGGCCACCGCTCAACGACTTGCCACAAAGCGAGCCACAGAGAAATTGTCTTGGACGGATTTTTTTCGAGAACCATTTTTTCGGTTGTTGTTCCGAAATTGTTTCCCTGAAGATCCGTTTTCTCCTCAAGTGACGGACATTTACCTTTTGATTTTCCGAACCCCCGCTCGCTCTCTCGGGCACTCTGGGACGCACACGCACACTCGACCCCTCTTCACCACACCACCCCCACCTGCGCTACCAAAGACCATGTGCCAGGTACCTTGCGCCAGGCCCCCGCCCCACCCGAAGCAGCAGCAGGCGAGAGTGCCGATCACGATGGCCGCGGCGAGGCAGTGCGCGAGCAAGCCCATCAGCATCGCGATCGGAGCGGGAGCAGGGTGCCAAAAGATCGCCGGGGAGCAAGCAATGGGGCGGACCTCTTCTGCAACGTCGACGGGGACGGGGCAGCAGCATGCGACTTCCAAGGCCGCGCCAAGCAAGGTCGTCCGGCGCGCGCACTGCCGGCGGATCGCCCCCGAGAACCAGTACCACCCGCACGTCTGCAACAACTGCGGGCAGACGTTCATCCCCCAGGGGCTCGGCAAGGACTTCTGCGGGGGCGAGTGTCGACACAGCTTCGCGTGGATGAGGCACATGGAGAAAAGAAGATTTGCCCAGCAGCAACTCCGGAGGCAACAGCAGCACCAGCAGCAGCAACAACAACAACAACAACAACAACAGCGACAACAACAACAACCACACCAATGCTGACGACGGAAATCTTCTTCGCCTTGCGGCGCGAGGTAGCAGCTTTTGTGTTTCATGGCTTGACGTCTGAGTTGCTTGCCTACTTGCTCTATTCCTCTTTCTCTTCCCCCCAAGTTCGACTCGGGTTGGCCGCCGCTTTCCGATCATGAAAAGAGAAAAAAGTGTTCGACATGCTGGGTGTACGTGGTTGGTTGGTTGTGTTCCAGCCAGCCAAGCATGATGTGTTACCGGGTTTTTTTCAAGGCCAACAACAGAACGCCACCCCCTCTCCCGTGCATTGTTCCAGAGGGATGTTTGTGGGCGACGTGGGGGTAGTAGGAAGCCTCGCCTCGGTTGACTGCTGTGTTTTTTGGCGCAAACAAAAAGTTGGGCCGGGAGGGGGGGGCGCTAGTGTCATTTCGAGATCTCCGCTCTATTTCTCGCATGTTTTGGGGTTGGTGCTGTTGACGTTCGTTGCAGCCGGATACATTTCGTTTCATACAAAGAACGGATGCGCACGGTGGGGAGCTTGGTTTTCCCTCTGGCTCCTTGTGGTACTGCTACTGCCGCGTTTGCGTCCCGCGCTGCTGATGTTGCCCGATCGTACCCATCCGTGTCACGTAGACTATGTATCGCGTGGTATTTTGCGCGACTGCTGTGAGTGTTGTTTTTGTCTGTTCCTTTGCGTTCGGTCTTTGTTGTCCCACCAATAAATTGTGTTGTTGTTGTGTCGCATACATACGTCGACAGCAGTGATACGAGAGTTCCGTTGTGTGCTATTTGCTGGGACTCTCTCCCCACATGATGATGCATACGTGTGCATATCACTCCGTTCGCTTGTTGGCAAGATAGTATTATAATAGTGGTATTCGTGCACATGTGCATAGCATACGATACCACCGTTGTTCGTCCTTGTTGCAGTAATGGTCGGTGTTGAACGAAAAGTCTGTACGTAGCGACACGCAGCCCGCGTTTTCTCGAGTTATTGTTGTCCATAATAACCCCGGGCGAAGAGGTACATACAACAAGACATCTGTGTGGCGAGTTTTTTTTCACATCTCCGCTGCACCATGTATCTACACACCGATAATTTTTCCATCTCTTCCCCCCCCCTCGAATGCGAAAACCCGCCCCAGTAAGAGTGATATGGGCGGGAATGATGGAGGATATATGCTGCTCTTGCAAGCTTTTCATTTGGTTGTGTCGGTAAGCGCGCCAAACGTAGAACCAATCAAACGAGCAGGTCGCCGCAGCACCTGTGTAGCCCAGCGCGTGTGTTGTGATTTTTTTAAGTTTTTTTTTTCTGTTCTATATTTACCCTGGCGCAGCGTTTTGAGATGGGATCCTGTGCGCGCGAGGAGTGCCGTACGTACGTATATGTCATCATGTACTCTATTTTTCTGTCTTTGTTGTCCTAGCATATATATATGCAAATGCAACTCTGCAACCTAGACAGTTGTTTGTTCCTGGTTTTTACCGCGCCTGGAGCGGCGAGATTAGATTGGGCTAGCTAGCTAGGTGGATTTTTAGTTCAGTTACTACTACTGTCGTTGGTCACCTACAGCGGGATGTGCACGGGCGTACTGGTAAGCAAGTCCTTGTTTTTTCAGTCTTTTGTCATGTTTCTCTTTATGGTGATCGGTTCGGTTCTATGCATATCGTACCTTGTTTTTTTCGTTCGTCTCTCGGTGCGTGGTTGTTGGCGGTGGTTTGTTGCTGTCGTTCTCTTTCCGTACACGCTTCACAAGTAAATTTCCATTTATTTCCAGTAGGCGTGTGTTGTTGTTCGTGTTTGTTTGCAACTTCCACAGATGGTTGGCATTGTTGCCTGCCGTGAGATCGTTTCGCGACGGCGTTGTTTTCTGTTCTCTTTGCCGTATGATACGCATATTATTGACGGTTGGTTGTGCTCGGTTTGACGATCTCCCACCGTAATGTTGCCGTTCTTTCGGATTGGTCTGTTTGTCTTCTCCTTTAGCAG